GGTGTCAGTATTCCACATGGTCAACCTAGCATCCTGATCTGATCTGTAGGGGTTAAGTTAGGTGTCAGTATTCCACATGGTCAACCTAGCATCCTGATCTGATCTGTAGGGGTTAAGTTAGGTGTCAGTATTCCACATGGTCAACCTAGCATCCTGCTCCACTTTGGTGCAGGCCCTAATATAAGAATCATTATGTTACCCATCACTCTCCACTTTGGTGCAGGCCCTAATATAAGAATCATTATGTTATCTATCATGTGTCTAGTTTTGTTTGCTTCGTGTTTAAGCACATAGCTATACAAAGGCCCATATGCTCTGGTTCCACTCAGATACTGAACCCAATTTTTAGCATTATAAACCCACAAGCTTACTGATGAGCCACCAGACTAATCATTTAGTACATATCTTACGACAAGAATTACCATGTTATTACTTACTGTCCAAACATTTAGTGTAGGTCTTAATATGAATATGAAAACTTACCATGTTATCCCTCATTAACAAATACATTTCTTCAGTAAAACAATTTAACAGCTAATCCATAAATAAATCAATATACAGTAGTTATTGTGCCACATCAAACTATGGTTCCTTTGCTACAGATCAGATAGTGATGGGTAACATAGTGATTTCTATATTAGGGCCTGCACCAAAGTGGAGAGTGATGGGTAACATAGTGATTTCTATATTAGGGCCTGCACCAAATAATCAAATAATGGGATTTCAACATCACTCATATAACGCACCCACAGTCCCAAAGTGAGGAGTGCGATAATATTTTGGATGGAACGGGGTGTGAACCACGGGTCCAAAGTCCAAGAAGCTAACCGACCTCTGTCATTGTTTCTGTGGTAACAAAATAACATTGTTATAAGCATGCAAAGTTTTGTTTTTCACCTCTCTTTTTTTTTTCATGTCATTTTATTTTTGTTTTTTCGGCCGAATAATTCTGTAAACCCTATTTATATTAGCATGACTAACATACCATAAAACATTTTAATGGTGACGAATCAATACTGATATATAACAACGAAATTCGAACATTTACCTTTGTTACTTTAATTAATTGATACTATACAGAACCATTGTTCTTTCATAGTTATCACTTTATGGTGAAGCCTGACCTTTTCCATGACGATTTGTTTTGGGGTCCTAATAGAAACTTTGTAATGTCCTTTAATCCCATCTAGTTGTGATGTCAGCCACTCTGGTATTTTGTATTAGCCAACAATTTTTGCACTGACAGCAACCCCAAAGAGCAAGCATGTTCGGTGTCGGGGGTTCGAACCCATGACCTGCAGAGTGCGAGTTGAATATCCCTAACCACCAGTCCTATAGAAACTAACTGGTGTGCTGATGAATAAACATACAAGTATTGTCTTTTTATCTTATTCTGAAAATTCCTAGTTTTATGGAAAAAATTTAAATAGGCTTCTATTATATGAACAATTGTAACTTACTGATCTTATATATATATATACTGCGAACTGTGGTGTCTGTCTCAGCGTTCATCTGTCTCCCGTTTGAAAAGCTGCGCATGCAGACAAAGCTCAACATTCACTTTTGAAATGACGGGAGAACAGACATGAATAATGTTGATGCCAAATTTTATTTTGCAAGCAGGATATTCAACACTAAATTGTTAGCAATTAATCACACTACCATTCCCATTTTAAAATGTGACGTAACTTAAATAATAAATAAGTAGATTTACCTTATGTTATTGTTGAGCGGCTCTTAGCATGACTGAAATGCTCAACAAATACTTTTCGCGGTGGACGTTATAAGTAGCTCAGAGCTTTGGCTCTGAGTGAAACCAAGAGTGCAACACAATTAATCTTTCTAAAATCCATGAAATAATTTAAATTAATAGATTAACTTAAACTTTTCCCGTCACTGGGGACGGGTACTTTTGCTTGTACTGAATATTCACACCTTGGCATTAGCAACATCCACACTATGTTATTCATAAAATCTTAGACAAATAATTTAATTTTCACATATTTTGGTCTTGAATGAAACTGGTATGTAAGTTAGAGATCTAGAGTACAAAACGTTTTTTTTTTTTATTTTCTTTGTAAATAATATGAAACTCTATGTTTTCTAGTTTGATTTTATTGGAGTAAAGCCACATTTGACTATCTGCTGTATCGAACCCCGGATTTTAGCATTGTAAGTCCACAGACATACATACCACTGTCCCACCAGTTAATGACTAACAAATCAAAACAGAGATCAGTTAAATTATTTTTTCCATTAAAAGTGATGATATGTGTAATGTGTAGAGTTAGAAAAAATGAGTAAATATACAACTATGGAAATCTGATGTTCAAGTTTGTGACTATCTTCATGAGAGTGGAAAATGCTTCACAGAAATTAAAAAATAACACAGAAAATAGCAAGTAAAGCTTATCTTTTACTTTTTTTTCCCTGTCATTGTAAATGAACAAAAACAATAAATTTCATGAACCTAAAATTTAAGTCACATTATGTACTTCCTAACTACTTCAAAACAGCTAGTAAAATAACAGTCTGTTTAAATACAGTAGGCAATATATATTAAATAAAAATAATATCATCATTTAATCTTTAGAAGCTATTGATCAAATAGTTATAGCTTTTGTTAAACTTTAATATTAGTATTGATTTTAAATATTGTAGTTAAAATTTAAAATGTACAGATTGATAAAAGCAATTCGTTCAAAAATAAGTTTTTCACCACTGATAATAACAACAACAACAACAATTATTAAAACAACAACTTAGATCTTAGTTATTTTTTGTATCACTTCAAAATGAACTCAAAACTTTTGCTACATGATCACTTCCAAACATAGGCACATCTAGTTCTTTTTGACAACACAGGCACATGAACAAACCATTATAAACAAAGAAAACTGTTGAAGGTCTATACACAAGAAGACAGACTCTGACTGAAATCCTGTACACACTGTGAAAGGCCGCTTTACCTAGAAAAAATAATGAATATTGAATTATATTTTTAATTTTTACTGTATATTGATGAACAGAGTTACTAACCAACTCGGATTTATAAGTATTCAGTTCTCACTATTTGTACCACAAAGTGTTGATGACTCTTTAGTAGCAAAGTAATTTAAATAAAGACAATTTTGATATTTTCAAGAAGCTTACTGTTAAAATCTGTCTATCATCTGGATGGTTTCTAACAGGAATCAAAACTTATCATTAAAAAATATCAACATTCCAGGGAGCCTGTCATCTGGATGGTTTATAACAGGAATCAAATCTTGTTATTAAAAACTATCAACATTCCAGAGAGCCTGTTATCTGGATACTTTCTAACAGGAGTCAAAACTTATCACTAAAAACTATCAACATTCCAGAGAGCCTGTTATCTGGATACTTTCTAACAGGAGTCAAAACTTATCACTAAAAACTATCAACATTCCAGAGAGCCTGTTATCTGGATGGTTTCTAACAAGAATCAAAACTTATTGTTAAAAACTATCAACATTCCAGAGAACCTGTCATCTGGCTTAACAACAGGGAAATACATCAATTCATCACATTTTCTAGGATTTTAAAAAAGTTATTTTGCCAAAATGCAAGAGTTGATAAAATGTATAACAAGAAACCAATTTTCCATGAGAGCCAAGCTTTTATATTATTTATAATTCTAAGCTTTCATAAAAATTTAAATTAAATCCTAATCATATCATCAAATCAAATAAATATTATTTATGGAGTGTTCCAACAGAATTATTTTCAGTATGGCTTTTTGCTTTGAATTAGAAAAATATATATATATTTTTTCACAGTTATATTACACTAGAAAATATAACACCATCCAAAATCACCATGATTATTACCAGAGGCATTGGCACAGGGGGCCTGCGTCCCTAACTCCCAGTAGAAAAATCAGGATAGAAATCCATGATTGATATCATACTGAAATGTCAAAAATTACCATGCTGACGGGACCAAGCATCAAATCTTTTAAGTACCTAACAATGCTTCTGATTATTACCTAAACAGACATACATAAAAAAATTATTGAATATTAGATGACGAAGTTCGTATCTGGTGTATTTCCTGTTAAAACTACTGATTTCATAATTTTCCCCATGCTTATAATCATTTGTGACCCAACCAAGTTCTTGAACAACAGATTTAATCCTTGTTAGAAGCTGAACAAGAAATAAAAACTAAAATTGACTATAAACCATAATATAATAATTACCATATTATCCATCAGTATCTAAACATGTGGTGCAGGCCCTAATATAGAAATCACTATGTTACCCATCACTCTCCACTTTGGTGCAGGCCCTAATATAGAAATCACTATGTTACCCATCACTCTCCACCAGTTTCTGGTGAGTAACTCTGACAAATCTACTGTGTGCCTTTTGGACCTATTGATCTCGTAGACCTGTATTATTATGTGAAGTGAACGTCTTTTGTTTACTACCATATAATGAAGGCCAAAGTTATTTATTTGACCTTATAATGAAGGCCAAAGTTATTCGTTCGGTAGCAGTGTCCATTTACAGTGTAAGTTCAAGAAGTTTGATTCGTAACGATATTATCTCACTAAGTAAGAATTATAAGTTTAACATTGTTTGTTTTCGAGTTGGTATGACTTTGCCATTGACAAAAATTGGCCAACAACTTGAGTCACACAGAAACAAGACGGAATCCTCAATAGCCGCGGCTGTAATTAGATCTCAAATCGGTCAAGAGATGGAGCTATGAGGTAAAATTTTGTACTTTAAAAAAACAAATTCGGAGCCAATTTGTGACCCGCTATGCCGTGGCTAAAATTTTGTTCTTGACCTTAGGCGATGGTGAGTGGCGTGCGGATAGCGAAACTCATTAATAAAAGGGGAAGGTAAATAATTCCCTATATTTACAAACTAGAAAATGGGGCGAAATTTATCACAGGTGCTACCACTTTGGGTCGATTTCACAATTTAAATTAATTAAGGGTTTTATGCTCTACCAACTGAGCTAGCTGAAACGGCCTTCAGATCACACGGCCTTCTAAACGAAACTACTACTTGACAGGGGGCGCGCGGTTAGGTTCTGATCTAGTACTCTGCTGAGGGGGGTGGGGTTT